TCATATCATGGAGCTGCTTTACTTGCCAATTGATTTGCATTTCTGTGCACCCAGTCCTGAGGTCACAGCCCTACCACACAAAACAGCCAGATTGGTAATCTGATTTTTTTCTACTGCAGTTGAAATTTACTTACTTTCAGCCTAGTTAAGCTAACATGTTTGCCTGGTCTTCTTTTAAGTGGTGTTAAACCCAAAAGCAAACATTTATTATTTTGCAACTTACCAATTCTTAGATGTGACATCTCCTTTAATTTTCTTATTTAGGCTTTCTTTCCTCCATTTCATAGTACCCAATCAGCTTCTAGCTTCAGCTTGTTCATTTCAAAAGGGGAAGTTCCACTTTAAGCCTTTGTCCCCCACTTCCCATTAAGGATTGGCACCTTTGGGGAGCGGGTAACCAAATTTGACAGGTACCCGCTCCCATTTCCATTGCGATCGCCTAGGAGATCGGAAGCGGAACTTGTCCCCCCCCCCTTCCTCCCCGTAGTCTTCTGGAACATGTGACAGGTCCCAGAAGACTACGGGCCATTCACAAAGCACAGCGCTTCTTGTGCATGCGCAGTGGGCACCCGGCTGTGAAGCCGCAAGCTGTCACAGCCAGGTGCTCACACTATAGATGCCAACGCCAGGGAGAGAAGACGGCTGGTGGAACCAGCTGCAGTGAGGACACCTCTGGACCAAGGGGCAAGTAAGTGGCTGTATTTTAAGTCAACAGCTACAGTTTTTGTAGCTGCTGACTTTTTTTTTTTTTTTTTAGGTGGAACTCCGCTTTAAGCTTTGACAGTAAAACCTTGAAGCTAATTGGTTACCATGCACAGTTGCACCAGATTCTGTGTTCACCAGTTATAGTAAATCTCCCCCACGGAGTAAATAAATGTGAATAAATGTTTTTCTTTTCCATTTCAAACAATACATCTAGGTCACCTCCCAGCCCCAGCTTGTGATTGGACAGTGAATGAGTGCTAACAATCTGATGAGATCATCTTTCTGCTCTCTTCTCCTGTCCACATGTTACTTGTTAGGACGTCTGCATACAGGATAAATGACTGTCCCCTAGTACTGTTCCTTCCTGACTCTGCTGTAAAGGTCATTACAAGTTGCTGATATCAAGTCAAATTCAGGCATTCACAGTGGTCGCATATAAAAATAAATTTTTATGATTTTTTTTTAACCACTTCCCGACCGGCCGTTGCATATAAACATCCGGGCGGTGGCAGTGCAGGGTCGGGTGGCTGTTTATAAACAGCCTCACCGCACCCTGCTTGTGCGCGCTCCGGACACAGTGAAACACCGATCGTCGGACGGGACCTCTGTACGACGTCCTGATCATGTGATCACTAATTGGCCAAACTAATTTGGATTTTTTTTTTTTTACTAAAAAGATAACAGAATAAATTTTGGCAAAGATTTATGATGAAATATTATTTATTTGCAAAATTGTATAAAAAAAACACTTTTTTTCAAAATTTTTGGACATTTTCATTTACATAGCAAAAAAAATAAAAATCCCAGCGGTGAATAAATACCACCAAAATAAAGCTTTATCTGTATCAAAAAAATGGTAAAAAATTCATTTGGGTACAGTGTTGCATGACCGCGCAATTGTCATTCAAAGTGTGATAGTGCTGAAAGCTGAAAATTGCCCTGGTCAGGAAGGGGGTAAAAGTGTCCGGTCTGGAAGTGGTTAAATAAATGCACAACTGCGATTGTTATTTTTGGATTTGTTTCTTTTTTTTAACATATATATCTGTCTGAAATTTATATTTAGTGTTTTATTAATGTTGTCTCTCCACCTTTGTTTCTATGTTCTACTTTTAAGTTTAACATTGATCTCTCTCAGCATCTGAGTTTTTTCCTTATAGCCCTTTCCTCCATATCATAAACCCGGAATATGTGTGCTTTAGCTTCAGTGTTACAGTGAGAAAACTAATTTTGTTTTCTAGCGTAATCTCTGTTTTGTCCTTCAAGGAATTTTCAACACATTTTCAAAATGTCGGTTTCCCAGCAGCCCTAATAACAATTCAGCCAGTGACCATAAAACTGTTACAATATGATATCCATGCTGCGTTGTATATATTTTTTTAGTAATTCTATTAAATTATGTATTTTTATAGTCAAGGCATAATCCAGCATCTTTTCATAAATGATCACCTTTCTCTCTTCTATTTATTTCTCTAGGTTTACAAGTTGTCCTGAACTCCATAATAAAAGCCATGGTTCCTCTGCTGCACATTGCTCTTTTGGTCTTATTTGTTATAATTATTTATGCTATTATTGGTCTAGAGCTTTTTGTGGGAAAAATGCACAAATCCTGTTTTTTCATTAGCACTGGTAGGTAACAGAAAATATGTACCCTTTTTACTTTTTAAAATACACCTTCACCCAATTAAAGCCACTTATTTCCACCTGTCTCCTTCTCCTTCCCTCTTACACAACTATATTAAAAATATATTTTTTTGAGTATCCAACACTTTTTGTGCTGCACTTCCTTCTTGCCTAGGTGGGAATGACATTGCGCTCCCCAGGAACTCTCTTGATTCTGAGCATTTATAAATGTGCATTGGGGCTTCCAGAGCTGCTGGGGACCTGCAGCACACCTGCACAAATGGGGGGGGGTTTCCCTCTCGTGCACTATGATGACACAGGTATGAGGTCCTGGATCTCAGGGTGTCTGCGCATGTGCAGGAAATCCGCCATACGCGCGAAGATGAGACTTTCAGCACATCTGCACACATAATGAATTTTTAAAGATGGTGGCATCTTTAAGTAGTGACATAGAATGCTATAGAACTATAATGGATCTGTTCTAACAAAATGGAAGAAGCAAAAGTTCCTACAATAGCCAATTGTATTCAACAGTTCATTTTTCTGTGCAGGATAATTAGAAGAGTGCAATTATAACTGGTTTCTAGGATACATTAATGGGTAAAACACAGATTTACTTTAAAGCACAGGTCTCCAAACTTTTTAAACATTGGGCCAGTCCTTAAGACTCTGAGGGGGCTGGATTGTGGCCAATGAGAATAGAAAATTCCCTGGCGTTAATGGGAGTATACAATGCCTCGTCATAGTGGGATGAATATATTGCCCCATTGTTGACATCGGAAAGAAATAGTGCCCACTCATTGGTGTCAGTGGGAGGAATAGTGTCTCCATTGTTGGGGTCATTTGTAGGAATAGTGCCTTATTGTTGGTATCAGTGACAGGAATTATGCCCTGCTGTTGGTGTCAGTGGGATGAATAATGTCCCATTGTTGGGGTCATTTGTAGGAATAGTGCCTTATTGTTGGTATCAGTGACAGGAATTGTGGCCTGCTGTTGGTGTCAGTGGGAGGAATAATGTCCCATTGTTGGGGTCATTTGTAGGAATAGTGCCTTATTGTTGGTATCAGTGACAGGAATTGTGGCCTGCTGTTGGTGTCAGTGGGAGGAATAATGTCCCATTGTTGGGGTCATTTATAGGAATAGTGTCTTATTGTTGGTATCAGTGACAGGAATTGTACCCTGCTGTTGGTGTCAGTGGGAGGAATACTGTCCCATTGTTGGGGTAATTTGTAGGAATAGTGTCTTATTGTTGGTATCAGTGACAGGAATTGTGCCCTGCTGTTGGTGTCAGTGGGAGGAATAATGTCCCATTGTTGGGGTCATTTGTAGGAATAGTGCCTTATGGTTGGTATCAGTGACAGGAATTATGCCCTGCTGTTGGTGTCAGTGGGAGGAATAGTGCCCCATTGTTGCAATCATTTGTAGGAATAGTGCCTTATTGTTGGTATCAGTCAGTAACAGGAATTATGCTCTGCTGTTGGTGTCAGGGGGAGGAATAGTGCCCCATTGTTGCAGTCATTTGTAGGAATAGTGCCTTATTGTTGGTATCAGTGACAGGAATTATGCTCTGCTGTTGGTCTCAGTGGGAGGAATAGTGTCCCATTGTTGGGGTCATTTGTAGGAATAGTGCCTTATTATTGGTATCAGTGACAGGAATTATGCTCTGCTGTTGGTGTCAGTGGGAGGAATAATGTCCCATTGTTGGGGTCATTTGTAGGAATAGTGCCTTATTATTGGTATCAGTGACAGGAATTATGCTCTGCTGTTGGTGTCAGTGGGAGGAATAATGTCCCATTGTTGGGGTCATTTGTAGGAATAATGCCTTATTGTTGGTATCAGTGACAGGTATTATGCCCTGTTGTTGGTGTCAGTGGGAGGAATAGTGCCCCAAGGGTTGGATAAAAGCAAACAAGGCCACATCTGGCACCTGGGCCAGAAACTGAATATATGTAGCATTTCTTAGATATAGTGGCTGCATTCGTTTTCATTTTTCAGGCTAAGAATATGTTTAGCAAGTAGAGAAAAACTCCATTTATTCGTGTTAGGAATGCAGTGTCCTTGTAACCTCCTGTAAGCCGAACTAAAAGCTCAAACAATGATATCTTCCTTTTCTAAAGTACTAAACCCCCAACCCTTCCATGTAAGTGGGATGAAGAGAGGATGGACATACACGGATTGAATTTCGGTCGGTTCTATCATCTATCGATCCTGAACAATCAGTGCTGCCAGCTATAGCCAGAAGCACTAACCATTATATTCTGATGGCTGGGAAGTCTCATAATCAGAACAAATTGCACAGTTGGAGTGATGAACAAAAATATAAAGTGCATTTGTTTTTGTCTAAAAATTGCATAAACAAAATAATTTTAGCAAGACAATATCACAAAAAGAAAGACTTGTTTGTCCTTAAAAAATAAGTATTGCTTTGTTATCTGATGTAATGACAAAAGTATTGCTGAATAAACAGGTCCATAGCAGAAATTTCAAAACTGGTCCATGGGAAGTATACTAAGTGGGAGAGGTGAAATGGTTAAAGGGTAAATCCACTTTTGTTAGGAAAAAAACATTCCCCCTGGCTAATCTATTGTAGGGATTTTTAAAAACTTTGTTGCACATTCCTACCAATTGTTATTCTGAAGAAATAGCTGTTTGTTTGTCTGTGTCCCTGTGCACAGTGAATGTAATGGGAGCAGGGGCGGACTGACAACTCATGGGGCCCCCGGCAATAGGGGATCATGGGGCCCCTGTGTCCTTGCCCATACTCAAAAAAACCTATGAAAAAGGTACCAGGGGCATCTCATGGGGCCCCTTTCTGACCCCGGGCCCTCGGGCAGTGCCCGAGTTTCCAAATGGTCAGTCCACCCCTGAATGGGAGTGGTTTTATATTTATCAATCAGCTGCTGGACCTGCAGGGTTCTAATGAGGAAAGTAGCAGAGCCTGCATCCCTTTAGACATGTTTTCCCATTGGGAGTATCACACCAAAAATTACATTTTTGTTGCAGGGGATGCCATAAATTTTAGTGCAGATTTCTGGGAAAATCAGTAGGCCAATCACAGAAGCAGGAAATTACATTTTCAGGGGGTGTTCTGTACACCATCTGTGTACAGAGTGCCTTCAGGGAGTCATGCTGCATTGCATTTTACAGATAATGACAGCACTGCAGATTGAAGAGGAAAGGTAATATGACTTGAGTTGCAATTGTATACGCTATATTAATTTTTTTTATTTGCTTTTTTTTTTTATGAAAAGTTGAGCTACCCTTTAAAAGTGGGAATTTTACCCAATTTATTAAGGCTAGGTTCACACCTATGCAGTTTGTGTATGTCCGTTTCTGCAGTGCGTTTTGTGTTTTTGCACAGGTGTTTTTGCCACGTTTTTGATGCGTTTTATTTATTTTTTCTTGTTGCTTGGCAAAGTAAAAACACAAAACACATCAAAAACGCATCAAAGACTTGGCAAAAACGCATTACATGCTTTTCTGCAGCATTTACATTGAAGTCTATAGAACCAAAAACACAACTTTTTGCGTTTAAAAAAGTCCCGGACCCTTTCCAAAAAATGCACCGGATGAAAACACGGACATGTGAACGTATTCCATAGGAAATCATGTTAATGGACTGTAGTGCGTTTCTGCATAATGCTGCGGAAAACGCTTAGGTGTAAACCTAGGGTCAGAGAATGAAGCCACGATTAAGTGTGGATTCACACATACATGGTGAGGATTGAAGATCAGATTTTACAGCTAATTGATACAGTAGTTGTTCAGCGGTTCAGGACAGGTTTGGATCAGGTTCAGGTCAGGATTTTATCCTGTTCACAACTGATGACTTGTGCGGTTTAGTATCAGTTCCCCTAGAAGTCAATAGTCTGTAATCTGCACCTGAACCGGACCACACTGCTCAGAAATCGGACAGAACTCTTTTTCAATCCACAGTGAATCCGCACTGCCAGTGCACTGGACCTATGTAAACAGGCACCACAGGAAGAAAAGTTATTTCACATGTCATGCGGTTCAAACTGCATCCAATCTGCATATACATTATATTGCCAAAAGCATTAGGATGCCTGCTTTTACACGCACATGAACTTTAATGGTATCCCAGTTTTAGTCCGTAGGGTTCAATATTGAGTTGGCCCACCATTTGCAGCTATAACAACTTCAACTCTCCTGGGAAGGCTGTCCTCAAGGTTTAGGAGTGTGTCTATGGGAATGTTTGACCATTCTTCCAGAAGTGCATTTGTGAGATCAGGAACTGATGTCAGATGAGAAGGCCTGGCTCGCAGTCTCCGCTCTAATTCATCCCAAAGATGTTCTATCAGGTTGAGGTCAGGACTGTGTGCAGGCCAGTCAAGTTCCTCCACCCCAAACTCTTTCATCTGTGTCTTTATGGACCTTGCTTTGTGCACTGGTGCGCAGTCATGTTGGAACAGGAAGGGGCCATCCCCAAACTGTTCCCATAAAGTTGGGTGCATGAAATTGTCCAAAATGTCTTGGTATGCTGACGCCTTAAGAGTTCTCTTCACTGGAACTAAGGGACCTCTGAAAAGCAACTCCACACCATAATCATCTGTCCACCAAACTTTACACTTGGCACAATGCAGCCAGGCAAGTACCATTCTCCTGGCAACTGCCAAACCCTGATATGTCCATCAGATTGCCAGACAGAGAAACGTGATTCATCACTCCAGAGAACACGTCTCCACAGCTCTACAGTCCAGTGGTGGTGTGCTTCACGCCACTGCATCCAACGCTTTGCATTGCACTTGGTGATGTAAGGCTTGGATGCAGCTGCTCGGCCATGAAAACCCATTTCATGAAGCTCTCTATGCACTGTTGTTGTGCTAATCTGAAGGCCACACGAAGTTTGAAGGTCTTTAGCTATTGACTTTTCAGACAGTTGGTGACTTCTGCACACTGTACGCTTCAGCATGCGCTGACCCCGCTCTGTCGTTTTAGTGGCCTACCACTTCGTGGCTGAGCTGCTGTTGTTCCAAGTTGCTTCCACTTTGTTATAATACCACTGATAGTTGGAATATTTAGTAGAAAGGAAATTTCACAGATGAACTTATTGCACAGGTGGCAACCTATCACAGTACCACGCTTAAATTCACTGAGCTCTTGAGAGCGACCCATTCTTTCACAAATGTTTGTAGAAGCAGTCTGCATGCCTAGGTGCTTGATTTTATATACTTGTAGCCATGTAGGTGATTGATTGGAACACCTAAATCTAATGATTTGAAGGCGTGTCCCAATACTTTTGGCAATATAGTGTATGTGAACCAGCATTAAGAGTATCTGAACTGAGAGAATGCGACACAAGATAGTATGCAACCCACCTTTTTATTCCCATTTTACACTTAAGTGACTTTTTTCTTTGTGAATAAATGCACTCTGCAACGTTTTTCATAGTTGGAATATTATTGTGTAATTCATATAATCATGTAAATGCAATTTTTTACAATTCTAATTTACAGAAGTGCTAGCCGAAGATGAGCCGGCGCCGTGTGCGTTCTCAGGGAGTGGGCGTATTTGTCCTGTCAACGGATCAGAATGTAAAAGTGGATGGGTTGGACCTAATGGAGGCATAACCAACTTTGACAACTTTGCCTTTGCAATGTTAACTGTATTTCAGTGTATTACAATGGAGGGCTGGACAGATGTTTTATATTGGGTAAGTTATATCCTGTAGATAAGAATGATATGTCATACAGGTTACCCTAACAACCCTACATATACTAAGTGGCTGACAGAAAATCTAATCTTGTCCCAGATGCTTCCTGGCAAACAATACCCCTATGAAAAAAATTTTGTTTACTTATTACCACTCCCACCCCCATCCCAATTGCATGTGCTCTGTTTGTAATACAGAAGTCATGGATAGCTCAGTAAATACCTTAAAAACCCTGTATTTTTCCTGTGCAACCTCCTCACCTTAAAGCCCCCCACCACCCCAGGAGCACATTCTCACTCACTTTTTCCTTTGTTCCTAGATAGTTGTTCCTATACTGCAATGAAATTGGTAGGTGTGAAAGATTATGGAAATTATTCCACTTCTTCTAATGTGCTTAATGATTAACTTAGCATTTCCACATGGGCAGAGATAATATTCTAAACCCTATGGGAGCTCCAACTAGTGCAACTCTGAGCTTACACAAGGCTTCCCTTCCCAGCTGAAGCAACTGAAAGTAGTTGTAAAGGCTCAAGGCTTTTTACCTTCATGCATTCTACTTATCTGAGCCCCATCTCAATCCAGCGATGTACATGAAAGCCTCAGCTCTCCGTTGACTCTTCTGCCTCATTGGCTAAAACAAGCTGCTTGCTCTAAGGGCACTTGGCAGGAGGGAGGTGCTGGGGCACTGGCGGGGGACCCAAGAAGAGGAGGATCGGGCTGCTCTGTGCAAAAACCACTGCACAGAGTAGGAACGTATAACATGTTTGTTATTTTCGTACAAAATCCCTTTAATAACACTTGAAGGGAGAAGTAGAGGAGTGAAGGAAAGATGAATATGCACACTGTCATGTTGCCCTGCATGGGCAAGGTGACAAGGGCTAAATGCAAACCTGTGCTTTGCAAATGGCAAAGAAACAGGTTTACTTAACTTCCCCTTATCCAGCAGCACATACCCTTGAATTATATACCAAGCACCATTGCTATTACATGGGAGGAAGGGGAGTGAGTCACATGTCCCCGCACGCCAAGAAGGGCAAAGCAAAAGGTTTACCTACCTTACTCCCCTCTCCAGAAGCACATACCCTTTGCTGCTCTGCTTCTCTAATTAGCCACCAAGGGCAAAGAGAGGAAGCCTTGTGTAAAAATTGCAGATCTCACAGGCTGGAGAACGATCCCCACTCACATGTGCCTATGCTAGACCAATCACCAAGCATCAATGCTGTCAAGTGGGAGGAAGAGCAGGGAATCACTTGTACCCCCATACCTTTTCTTTTTTGACTTAACAAAGCAGCAAGGTAAAGATGAGTATATGCTGCCACAAACTTACAACCTGTAACAAACTGATTGCAGCTATTTCAATAACCAGATAAAACAGGCAAAGAAAGGTATACCGTCATGCTAATTTATTTAACCACTTGCCAACAGGGCGCTTTCACCCCCTTCCTGCCCAGGCCAATTTTCAGCTTTCAGAGCGGTTGCACTTTGAATGACTATTGTGCGGTCATGTAACACTGTACAAAAGTGAACTTTTTATAATTTTTTTTTTACACAAATAGAGCATTCTTTTGGTGGTATTTACTCACCACTGGGTTTAATTTTTTTTTGTTAAACAAAAAAGCCCGAAAATTTTGGAAAAAAAGTTTTTTTTAGTTTCTGTACAAATATCAGTGCCCATCAGTGCTGCTGATGAGGTTGATAGGCAGCACTGATGGGCACTGATAGACAGCACTGATAGGTGGCAATGATAGGCACTAATAGACAGCATTGATGGGCACTAATAGACTGCAATGATGAGGAGGCACTGATGGGCACTGACGGGCATCACTGATGGGCACTGATAGGCATCAGCTTGGGGCACTGATAGGCAGCATTGATGGACACTGAGTGGCATTATTGATGGGCACTGAATGGCAGCATGTATGGGGCTGCACTGATAATTGGCACTGATGATCAGTGCCCTGATTATCAGTGTAGATGTCTCTTCTGAAGATTGCCGCTTATAGCTGACAGCGCGTGAGGAGAGGACTGATGATAACCGGAATTTCAATTTTACATGTGATCAGCTGTGATTGGACACAGCTGATCACATGGTAAAGAGCCTACACCATCGGCGTCACCACAGTTGGTGATCCGCTGTCAGCGCGCCACTGACCGCAGCATCGCGCGCCCCTGGGGACGCGCATGTGCGGCTAGAGTGTGAGG